TGTGGTGCTGAGGAATCGAACCCAGGGCCTCAGGCATGCAAGGCAAGCGCTCTACCACTGAGCCACCTTCCAGCCCCCACAAATGTATTTTCTTGGCACAACGGAGCATTTCAGGGAGAAAGCACCCCTGGCTCGTTCTCTTTCGTCATTAGGCGATGTCAGAAACATTTTCGCCGAGCGTGACCCCTAATGACCTTAGAGGAACTCCAAGCCCAAGGCCACGGCTACGCAAGGCAAGCAAGTTCCAGCCATTCCTCTCATATTTGGGCCAAAATGTGACCTCTTCTTTTGGACCCCTGTCTCCCTGGCCAGTAGGACATACAATGGGAGAGCAGGGTGGGGGGCATTTTCGACCAAATATTCAGCCCTTTTGCCCCAAGCTGTGCACCGAATCACCATCTCTTAACACGTCCCCAACCCACACCGACGATCTCCTCTCTGATTATTTATTTACTTACCTCGGCTTTTTCTGAGACGGAACATCAGTTGAACTCGGAATCCACAGACAACGGATGTAAGAACCATCCAGAAGCCCCGGCTGCCACCGGCTCCTTCCAGACTTAGGACCATGGCTCAAACTCCTCAAAGGAAAAAGGAGAGGCGGGGGAAGGCCGGGCATGGATGCTCACGCCTGTCATCCCAGCTACTTGCGAAGCTGAAGATCTGGAGGATCGTGGTTCAAAGCCAGCCCCAACCAGGAACATCTGTCAGGCTCTCCTCTCCAGCGAACCAGCAAAGAGCCGGAATGGTCAGGGCACAGGCCTGGAGTTGAGAAAAGCAAGAGTGCTAGGCCCTGAGTTCAAATCTCCACAACCCCCTACCCCCAACTATAGCAACAGACTTCCTAGGCTTCCCCTCCGCGCCCCCCCCCCCCCCCCCCCCCCCCCGTTTAAGTAAAAAACACCTGTAAGGAACAACAGCTCGTCTCTTTTAAGGAGCTTTGAGGTTACAGGTTGCAACCAACTTATCTGGAAATGTAGACTCAAGCCCCTTGTCCGGAGTAGAATCCCACCCCCCCTTGCATTGGAAAAGACTCAAAATGTGCTTTTCTACTTCACAAGATCAACAAATCCTGAAAAATTCGTGAACTGTTCTAAGTAGTTCTTGAAACAACAACAAACAAACAGCCCGACCTCGTCCACTTCAAATGCACAAGAGGACCTTAGACATGGCTGTTTGGAGGCCACATTTTTTTTGTGGCTCCCTTTGATAATTCTTTTATCCATATGATCTTGTCAAAAAAACAAATCTGTTCTAAGCTGGCACCATAGTTCACACCTGTAACCCCAGCGCCGGGCCGACAGCATGAGATCCTGTCCCTAAAAACCAAGGGGAAGAGGAAGAGGAGAGAGGGAGGAAGAAATTGGTGATGGTGGCTCACGCCTATAGTCCTAGCTACTCAAGAGGCTGAGATCTGAGGATGGTGTTCAAAGCCAGCCGGAGCAGGAAAGTCTGTGAGACTCTGATCTCCAATGAACCACCAGAAAACTAGAAGTGGCACTGTGGTTCAAGTGGTAGAGCGCTCGCCTTGAGCTGAAGAGCTGAGGGACAGTGCCCAGGCCCAGAGTTCAAGACCCAGGACTGAAAAAAAGAAGATAAAGAGGAGGAGGAGGAGAAGAAGAAAAGAGAGACAAGAAGCAGGAAGAGGAGGGAGGGAGAGGACAGAAGAGAGAGAGGGAGAGGAAAGAGGAAGGAGAGAGAGGAGGAAGAACAGGAGAGAGGAGGGAAGAGTGGAGAGAATATATATATATATATGTTTATTTAAAAAATACACTACTATTTTTACTGTCTGATATTTAATATTATATATAAATATAATGTTATATTTATATTAATATAATATAATTTATATATTATATTATACTAATATAATAATAATTATAATTGCATGTGTATATATTTATATAACTGTGTGTAGTTATAATTATCATAATTAGCTATACTTATAGTTAATATAACTATATTCCTCTATATATTTATAATTCTATGTATTGATGAGTATGACTTAATAATTATATATACGTAATATATTTTGAATCCATATTAAAAAACCCAACAGCTTGATAACAATAAAATTAGATAAAAATGGCACTGCACACCCCCCTCCAGAAATGTAGTATTTACCTGATTTATGTAGCTATAACCCCTCCATGCATCACAATAACAGTAACATGAGGAGAGGAGCGAGGAGAGGGAGGGAGAGAGAGAGAGAGAGAGAGAGAGAGAGAGAGAGAGAGGGCAGACACTTGTGTGAAATGGTGCAGCTTTTGGCAATCATTGTGTGTGTGTGTGTGTGTGTGTGTGTGTGTGTGTGTGTGTTTTAAATCTAAAGGATGGAAGCCCGTTTCCCTTTCCCATTGTAGAAATGACCGAGTACTGATTAGGGACGTTGACCCCACTAGAAGCAAAGGAGGGGGTGACATTGTCCAATAAATCACAGTAAGAGGTACGCATTACCTGACTTAGGACACAACACTACCCGCTAGACCACAATGGATATCAATGAAGTTCTATCTGTCTGGTTTAAGGCGATGTAAGCTGACAGACAGGAAAGCGCGTGCGCATGCTGGAGGTGGGACTCAGGTTGGGCGTGATCCAGGTGACTCAGGCCTGTTCCCTTCTCCCCCAGGCACGCTGGTCTCCTATCTGGAGCGCCACGAGATCCCCTTCCCCCCCATGCTCTTCCGCATCGTCCGCCTGGCTCGGATCGGCCGCATCCTCCGCCTGGTCCGCGGGGCCCGCGGGATTCGAACCCTGCTCTTCGCTCTCATGATGTCTCTGCCTTCCTTGTTCAACATCGGCCTGCTGCTCTTCCTGGTCATGTTCATCTACGCCATCTTCGGCATGAGCTGGTTCTCCACGGTGCCCAGCGGGGCGGGCCTCGATGACATCTTCAATTTCCAGACGTTTGCAGGCAGCATGCTGTGCCTTTTCCAGATCACCACCTCGGCCGGCTGGGATGAGCTACTGGAGCCCATGCTGCGGCCGCCTGGGGTAGGGGGGGCCGGTGCCCCACTGACCCCGGATGGGCAAGCCAGTGGCCACCAGCGTACCGTGGCCATTGTCTACTTCGTCAGCTACATCATCATCTCCTTCCTCATCGTGGTCAACATGTACATCGCCGTCATCCTGGAGAACTTCAACGTGGCCACGGAGGAGAGCACCGAGCCCCTGGGCGAGGACGACTTCGACATGTTCTACGAGATCTGGGAGAAGTTTGACCCCGAGGCCACGCAGTTCATCGCGTACGCCTCCCTGTCCGACTTCGCCGACGCCCTGCCCGAGCCCCTGCGGGTGGCCAAGCCCAACAAGGTCCAGTTCCTGCTGATGGACCTGCCGCTGGTCAGTGGAGACCGCCTTCACTGCATGGATGTTCTCTTCGCCTTCACCACCAGGGTGCTGGGCGACTCAGGCGGCCTGGACACCATGAAGGCCCTCATGGAGGATCGGTTCATGGAGGCCAATGCCCTGCGGAGGCCCTACGAGCCCATTGTCAGTACCACCAGGAGGAGGGAGGAGGAGCGGGGGGCTGCTGTCATCCAGAAGGCTTTCCGGAAGCACCTGCTCCGGGCGGCCAGGGTGGCCTCCGAAGGCCGGCCTCCCTCCCCGGCCTCCGCGGCCGCCGACCTCTGCAATGGAGAGCTGCCCGGCTCGGAGGCCGCACGGGGCAAAGTGCACTATGACTAGAGCTGCTCACCCTGAGCCCCCGTCTCGCGGCCACACAGCCCTGTGGCTCCGGGGTTGGGAGGAAGACAGGGAACGTGTTCATGTGGCCGTTCTCTTACCACTCCACCGATTGTTATTATTATCATTGTGGTGGTTGTTGTGGGGGTTATTCTTGGGTGCCTGTTCTGGGGCTTGAACTCAGGGCCTATGCGCTGCCCCTGAGCTATTTCCTGTTTTTGTTAATCGTGGGGCTTGAACTCACGATCTACACACTGTCCCTGGGCTTTTTTTTTTCATTTCTGTAAGGCATGGGTCTTGAACTCAGGGCTTACAAGCTGTCCCCGAGATTGTTTTTGTTTCTGTCAGTTGTGGGGTCCCTGAGCTTTATTCCTCAAGGCTGGTGCTCTACCACTTGAGCCACAGCACCACTTCTGGTTTTCTGGTGGTTTATTGGAGATAAGAGTTTCAGTATTTATTTTAATTTATTATTATGTTTTAAATAAAGATATAAGCGAAAAGCTCCCTGACGGTTATTACCCGGAAAGAAGATGCTAGAAGGCCGCAAGGGATTTCTACTGGCGTGTGTGATTGCTGTCCAGTTCAAAGTATTGACAAAAGAATAAGAAACTCGAATCACATTGGACCATTTTTACAAACTGTGTTCTCAGCTATTTCTTAGGTATATTGCTCAATAGCTCTGTTTCATGATGGCGTTCTTTCCTGCAGGGAGTTTATGATATATCAGCCTTTTGCATGGTCAGGTTCCAACACAATCAATAAATGAATGGCTTATTACATCTCTTTTTCATGAGTATTAACTATTTCATGTGTGTCTCACGGTTACTGCTATGGTCTTGATTTGTCCAATAGTGTGCTTGTAATGAGCCACAATCTCTATTGTGTACATCATACCAATAAATAAAGATGAAGAAATAAGACTTCTCTTTATGTGCCATTGAGATACTGGATTAGTAATTTTCTATCATTTGGTAGGTGGAGAAGTTTTATTTTATTTTATTTATTTTTTGTCAGTTTTGGGTCTTGAACTCTGGGCCTGGGCGCTGTCCCTCAGCTCTTCAGCTCAAGGCCAGTGCTCTACCACTTGAGCCACAGCGCCGCTTCCGGTTTTCTGGTGGTTTATTAGAGATAAGAGTTTCACGGACTTTCCTGCCCTGGCTGGCTTTAAACTGTGATCCTCAGATCTCAGCCTCCTGAGTAGCTAGGATGACAGGTATGAGCCACCGGCACCCAGCTAGAAGTTGTATTTTAATGTTATCTTCTGCTTCCTCCCTCCCTCCCTCCCTTCCTTCCTTCCTTCCTTCCTTCCTTCCTTCCTTCCTTCCTTCCTTCCTTCCTTCCTCCTCCTCCTCCTCTTGTACTGGGGCTTGAACTTAAGATCTTTCTGCTGGGCTGGGAATGTGGTTTAGTGGTAGAGTGCTCACCTAGCATGCATGAAGCCCTGGATTCAATTCCTCAGCACCACATCCACAGAAAAAGCCGGAAGTGGCGCTGTGGCTCAAGTGGTAGAGCGCTAGCCTTGAGCAAAAGAGGCTCAGAGAAAGTGCCTAGGCCCTGAATTCAAGCCCCAGAACCGGCAATGATAAAACAAACCTCATGCTGGCTTCAATTTCAGATGGTGCTCTACCACTTGAGCTATGCCCCCAGCTCAGCTTTTTGTTGCTTCACTGGAAAGAAGCAGCATCTCAAAGACTTTTCTGCCCATGCTAACTTTTAACCAGGAGTCTCCAGGTCTCTGCCTCCAGTGGTGGGCGTGAACACCAGGCTTTTGAGGATTTATTTAGTTAGTGAGTTGTGTCAGGACTGTGGCATGGACTCAGGGTCTAATGCTTAAAATGTGGCTCAAGTATGGAGCTCTACCGCCTGAGCCACGCCTCTGTCCCTGTTCTTATGAAAGCCTCATGCCCTATGTGTGCAGGCTCAAGTCTGTCATCCCCAGCTACTCAGGAGGCTGAGACCTGAAAATCATGCAGTTCAAAGCCAGCCCAGGAAAGAAAGATACTGAGACCCTTATCACAACTAACCAGCAACAAGCCATGTGTGTGTGTGTGTGTGTGTGTGTGTGTGTGTGTGTGTGTGTGTGTGTACCAGTCCTGGGGCTTGAACTCATGGCCTGGGTGCTGTTCCCAAGCCTGCTTTTGCTCAAGGCTGGTGCTCTACCACTTGAATCACAATCTTCCCTTCCAGCTTTTTGGTAGTTGTTTGGAGATGAGCCCTGGGCTGGCTTCGAGCCATGATCCTGAGGGCTCAGCCTCCCAGAATATGTTCGGTGGGGGTGGAGGGGACTCAAGGGGAGGGCAGATGAATGGAGAGAGGAAGGGAGGGTGAAGGTGGTTGTAGCCAATGTCCACATGGGAAGCTGGACTTGGGACACAGGAGGGGAGGGGCGGGGTCAGGAGAGATGGAGAGAAGGGGGGGGACATGGATCAAGGTGTGCTGGACTCCTCAATGGCCATGTGGAATTGAAACTCCTCGGTAGAATGATGCCAAGATGATAATGATAACAACAGCAGTAATAATAATAGAAGGAGAAGGAGGAGGAGGAGAAGGAGGTAGAGGAGGAGGAGGAGGAAGAGGGGTAGGAAGAAGAAGAGGAAGTGGAGGAGGAGGAGAGGGAGAGAGGTAGGAGGAAGGAGGAGGAGGAGGAGGAAGAGGAGGCGGAGGAGAAGGTAGAGGAGGAGGAAGAAGAGGAGAAGGAGGGGGAAGAGGGGGAGGAGGAAGAAGATGGAGGAGGAGGAGGGAGAGGAGAAGGAGGAGGAGAAAATGGAGGAGGAGGAGGAGAAAGAGGAGGAAGAGGAGGTGGAGGAAAAGGTAGAGGAAGAGGAGGAGGAAAGAG